CGGGTCTTCTGACCACACAGGGCGGTTTCCTCTCTGCCCGTCTGCCTCCCGCATCCAGAGATGTGCTTTATATTAAATAACAAAACAAGACGAGACTGTCCCCGGTGGAGAGTATTATCCCGTGGAAAACACCAGGCACCTGCCCTCCCTGGTTCTCACTTCTCTCTGCTGTTCCCTCTTCGTTGAATGCCATTCCCTGTGGCTCTGTTTCTCCAACTCCCACACGCTTCTCAAGGCCCAGCTCAGATCTCCCTTCCCTGGGATCCTGATGGCTCCCCTCCCCACCCCTTTTGAATGATTTCACCCTCATGACCCCCTCAGTATGTCGGGAGCATGTATCTCGGGGTGGCCTGTATTATAGGTAGTTTTTTAAGTTCTCCATGGAGTTCTGTGTAGGTTAAACGAGACCATGACATGGAAAAGGAGGAGGGGTGTGTCGGTGCCTAGTAGATGTTCAATAACTGTCAGTTCTGTCTCCTGGGATTGGGAGTTTTGGGCCTTGTACATACATGATGAATGTACAAAAAATCGTGAATCCTTGCAACAGGCACAGGCTTGCAACCCTGGCCTTAAAAGACCGAGCAACTTAACTGCTCAAGCACGAATGCTAAACTGTGTGCTCTTTGCTAAATGTCAGGCTGCGCAGGGCCAGCCACTCCCTGCCGCGCCCCTGCTGCCCAGGCTGGGAGTGTGAGCGAGGCTGGGGCGCATGTGTGAGGAGCGGGAAGGGGTGCTCTCGGGAGCACACTCCTCACCTGTTTCCCGCTGGGTCTCTTCTCTGTTAGTAGGGCCTATTTTGGGGGGGGCTCTGGCAGATTCCAGGGAACAAACAGCGACAGATGGGAGGCATGGTGACCTTATGTCCCCCAGGGGATCAGGCCAGAAGCACTGAAGCTGCAAGGGTTGGGGGGGAGGGGGAGGTGACTACTTTCTGGCCCGGAAAGTGCTCAGAAAAGTCCACCCTCACCCCACCCCTATTCCCTGGTGACCATCGTGCTGTGTCCCACCTCCGTCCGCGCCCTCACCCTAGACAGAATAACTTGGACAGACCTGGCTATGTAACTT